CATTCTACGACACTAATTCTATTTTCCATGATTTACTAAAAATTTTTAGAATTTCTGGACACTAATTACGATAATGCCCTTTATAGACCAATCATTTTAAAAATGACAATTTGGTCCTTTTTCAGTTCTCACTTCAATTGTTGTGCTGTTTTTCTCTTTTTTTTAATCTCACCTCACCTTGATCAACCCTAAATCTTTCATTAGTCATGCTAAAGATATCAGGGTATGACATATTTCGTTATTTCTAGGTTAGAAATTTTGGGATGTTACAATAAATACACATGTAATTTTGACCAAGAGCTAAAACAAGTTCTAGAGAATGTAAACCACATGAATAATCACTCAAAATAGGGATTAAGGCTCAAGAATATCCTTCTAACAAGGGTTTTATGTGTCAATTGCTCATATAAGAAGTTTCAATCAAAATGCATTAGTCACGAGGCATTAGGACACTTATCACAAAAACAACCCATAGGATGAGGATTAAAAGGATCAAAACAATCACTTTAAAACATACTTGAATCTCAAAAGTGACTATAAACTCTTAGAGAAATCATGTTCAAAATCCAGTGTTCTCAAAAGTCCAAGGATGGACATGGTTTTCAAGAAAAATTGCTTGACACAATGAGGGTAGATTAAAAAGGCAATAGTTTGCTTGATATAGATGCAAAGGTAGCTTAAAAAGGTTCCTACTACACAACATTGCAAAAAGCAAAGAGAAGGAAAGTGGTGCATCGCAAAAGGGTCCAGGTCGCGACCTAAAATCAGTAAGGTCGAGACTTGAGCACACAGAAGCACCAAGTCAGGAAGGGGGTTGAGGTCGTGACCCGAAATTAGTGAGGTCGTGACCTGAAATCAGTGAGGTTGTGACTTGAATACATAGAGAGCCCTCCCTTGCCAAAGCCACACCCCAAGTCGCAACTTGAAGCAGTGAGGTCGTGACCTGAGGTCACAGAAACTACCAAAGAAAATTTTTCAAAGCTTAGCCAAAATTTAACAAGTAAAAACCCTTTCAACAAGCATCAAAATAGATAGAGATGATCCAATACACAGCAATTCACCATCATAATCAATTCAAAGCCAAATAATGATAATGAAAGATTAGATTTTTGAAAAAAATTTGCCAAAAATTCTAAAATAATCACAGAAAAGATGCAATATTGGGAAATAGCAAAGCGAAATGAAGCCCTCCCCCTTGCTTAAACTTGACAGTGTCCCCACTATCAAAGGAGAAGGGAAAAGAACAACAGCAACCACAAATAAGAACATAGTAAACCAACCATTCATTGCAATATAGTTGAAATACATCAAAGTGCAACTTTTAAGTACTGAGTTCGCAGGAAAGAGCCACAAAATAAAAAGAAAAACATAGAAACAAAACACAAACAAAAAGACTTCTAACAACAAAGCTTTCAATCCTTCTCTGCTTTTCTTTCCTCTTCTGCCCTGACATCTTCTGCTTGGACATTGGCTTCACCCATTTCAGCATCAGCAACAGTAGTAGTACCAGAAGATTGCCCCAGACCCCTAATAAAGTAGCTGGTGGCAGGAATAGTATTCTCCTAGAAGGCTTGTTCATACTCTTGAGGAAAGTTGACCTTAAGAGCCCTGGCCATCTCCAACATTAGAGGATCCATAAACTTCTACCTTCTGAACTCATGAGACATGGAGATAGCTTTATATGCATCAAACTCCTCGCTTAGATTTATTACTTACTGACCCAGCTCAGTAATTTGCTTACTCAAAGAGGCGAGGTTGAAACTAGAGCCACTCTCAGCTGCCTCCTCCTCTGGACCTTCCTCCATCACCCTCTTTCCTCTTTTTCTCTCTCTATTGGATTTGGAGGTGGCATAGCACCTATTCGTGACGGGGTCCAAGATAGAGTCAGACTTGCGCGTTGGTATCCCATGTGCTGTACACATATCTGTGATCAAATGTGAAAATACCAAAAGAGTTCGGACATTGTTGACACAATGCCCAATCTGGTCTAGGGCAATGATAGGGATGTCAACCGGCTACTAGGTCATAAGGAGATGTAATAAAAGTGCGCCCTCTTCAGAAAAATAAAAAATATGGGCTGTTGGCATCACGTTGTAGGTCATAAAGTTAAGCCAAATCCTGGCTTCATCATTCATGTGCTTGCACTTGAAGACTTTCTGCCCTCTTTCCTTTACAGTCCAACCCGCTCCCCCTATCCCGATGGTTTGGAAAAGCTCTTCCCAGGAAACTTCCTCAAGTCTGGTCTTCCAATGCTGGTATTCGTAGACAGGGACTCCAGGAAGTTTGTAAAACTTCTCAATAGCATTTTGGCTGAAATAACATTCACTCCTTTTGAAAGTGATATCCGTCCATTACAGAACAGGCATAGAACTCTCTCACCAAGGTCAAGTTAACCTTGTTTCTCTTCTTCATGAGCTCCCCCAAACCATGTGCCATGGCGAGCTTATAAAAGTCATACGCCTTTGTCTCTGGAAAATGTCACTCTTGAATTACCCCTTATTGGCAAACATTTTCACTGCTTTCTCTCTTGTAAGTTTGGTCTCCTCACGAGGGCAAAGCTTTTAGAGCTTGAAGACTCAGGGTTCTTAGTGCGAGGCATCTAAGCACAAAGTAAACACATAACAAACAACCAAAGTAAACACACAAAACAAACAACCCTACAAAGGAACCTAAAACCTATACTAGGCCCAGAAACTAAGCACTCCCCCATACTCAGCTAAAAGCTATCCCTTGCTAGACTCACTTTAGCAAAATTGTTAAAGATTTTGAATTAGGACACTTGCATTTTAAAACCATTGGAAAAATCATGTGAAAAACCCAAGTATTCATAATTTCAATTGCCCAAAGTCAATTTCCTGCAAATCCTAAATAGGCAAAGTCAAAATCCATTGAGAAACTACAGTTTGGAAATAACAAAGGTAAATCAGAGGTTTAAAGTCTCCTCTGTGAGCTCAGGTCACAACCTGAAGGATGTGAGGTCGCGACTTGAATAGATAGAGGGAGGAAAAAATTTTGAGTTTAGAAAGGCTCCAGGTCCCGACCTGAAAACAGTGAGGTCACGACCTGAACCCAAAAATTTTAGAAAATACAAAATGAACCAGTTTTCCAGAAACCAAATGTTTGCAGCAAACGTAATCCCAAGCAGTTCTAAAACAAGTTAAACAGCATTTTAAACGTCCAGTCAAGACTCCACTCAATCAAAATCAAAACCCAAGAAACTAAAACCCTAGAAAACACAAAATGAAATTGAACTAGAAAAAAACAAAAGGAAAAGCATAACAAACCTTGAAAGAGTGTAGGAAGGATGGGTTTTACTCAAGAATAGCTTGAATTTCAGACAGCAAGGGAGGATTTCCAAAGGCAAGAAAGCAACAACAAGTGTAAGAGAGCAGGTAGGCATTGAGGGAGGTAAGGGCTTAGAGAAAAGACGGGTTTTTGAAGTGGAAGAGTAGTTTCACTTGAGGAAACTGAAGGGGAAGGATGGTTACAGAAGAAGAGAGGGTTGCGACTTCAGGGTGGCAGAAGTTCAGTCATGGAGAGAGAGAGTGAATGTGTGAGGGAAACTAAAGGAAGGGTATGTGTGATTTTACAAAGAAGAACTAGGGTTTCGGGCTCTTGCAGTGTAGAAAGCTTGAATTTAGGGCAGGTCCAAAGGGTAAAATGGTAATTAGGGTATAGATAAGCAAGGGTAAAGAGGTGAACTCGGTGAAAAATCTTGGCTTTTCATGTTAGGTCATGACTTCAGCAAATAGAGGGGGGTTTAGGGTTTCAGGAAGGCTCCAGGTCACGACCTGAAGGCAGTGAGGCTGCAACCTCAACTCACGGAGAGCCTTTACCCAATTTCTTCCCCAAGTCACGACTTGAAATGGCTAGGTCGTGACTTCAATTCATAGAAAGCTCCTCTCCTTAGACTAATCTCTAGGTTGCGACCTGACCTGAAGGCAGCTAGGTCATGACTTAGGGTCACAAAGAGGTCTCTAATACTCTAAACCCTGAAAAATCTCAAAATAAAGACCCTATACGAAAACCACTTACCAAAATACCTATCAAAACTACCTAACTCAGCAATCCATTACCAAATTCTCAACAATTTAACACAAAACTTCAAAAACAAATGATGGAAGATTGGGGAAATTTCGAAGGTTTTAAAGTTTTTTCAAAAATTTTGGCAAGTTTTCACAATAACTATCCATAACAAGGAATAAATTAACAAACAAAATACAAAACCACTTTTAAATCTCTGTCCCCCACACACTTAAAGCAATGTCTGCAATGCAACACACAATCACATGCCAAAACACAAAGCTCAAAAACAAAACAACGAAGGTGGAGGTTATGAAGTTTAATTCAGGATTGATGCACAACACATCACCCATCTAGAGACAAGAAAAGAGCTAAGTGCCTAGATGGGAAAACTAAAGAATGTAATTAAGTGTGCGGTGATGACAGAATAGAAGCACAATTGCAATCACATCAAACTCAAGGCTAGGGGAGATTATTCAAAACAAACAAAAATTAGAACTACTTCTACTGAGGACATCCCCTTTACAAACTCAAACAGTCACAACAATATAATTTAAGCACAAGTGAATTCATGTGAATAGTAAGAGGTAAAGGAAAAGGACGATTTGACCTTAAGAAGGCAGAGTAGGCTCTTCGTAAAGCTTGAGGAGATGACCGTTACACTGGAACATTTTGCCCGTGGCCTCCTCCTTTAGCTCTATCATCCCGAAATCATGAACTTTCGTAACAATATAGGGTCCATCCCAGCTCATCTTAGACTTACCCTTCTTGAATTTAAACTGAGCTTGATACCTCAACACCTTATCACCCTCCTTCAACTGCTTCCTCAAGATATTGGTATCGTGAACAAGCTTGGTTTTCTACTTGTAAATGTTTGAGTTGTTGTATGTATCTAACCGTATTTCTTCAAGTTCTTGAATTTGAAGGAGTTGGTTTAGGCCAGCTTCCTCCAAATTGGCATTATAGCTTTTAACCGTCTAGTATGATCTGTGTTCTAGCTCCACTGAAATGTGATAGGACTTCCCATAGATGATCCGGTATGAAGACATTCCTATTGGCATCTTGTAGGCAGTGCGGTAGGCCCACAGTGCATCATCTTGCTGTAAGCTCCAGTCTTTGTTAGAAGGCTTGACAATCCATTCCAGGATGCGTTTAATCTCTCTATTAGATACCTCAGCCAGGCCATTGGTTTGCAGGTGGTATAGGGCGGCCACTCCGTGGGAAACCCCATATTTAGCCAACAAGTTGTTGAGTAGCTTGTTGTAGAAGTGGGTTCCTTGATCACTATTAGTACCTTAGGTACTCCAAATCTACTGAAGATGGTAGACTTCAAAAATTTAGAACTGTAGGTGCATCATCCTTTTGCGTGGGAATGGTTTCTCCCTACCTAGAGAGATAATCTACAGCTAGGAGGATGTAGGTGTAATCGTAAGAAGGTAGAAAGGGGCCTATAAATCTATTCCCCAAGCATCAAAGTTCACGCAAAATAGGATGGGCCACTGTGGCATTTCATTCCTTCTACTAACCCCCCCCAAATCGTTGGCATTATCATATGTCTTACAAAAAGTGAATGCGTCTCTAAACAGGGTGGGCCAATAAAAACCTGTATCTAGCACCTTCCTGACTATTTTTTGAGCATTAAAGTGCCTCCCATATAAGGTATCATGGCAAGCTTCCAAGACGGCTTGAGCCTCCACTTCAGGAGTACACCGTCTAATCACTTGGTCAACACATATTCTCCATAAATGTGGTAGGTCCCAAATATAGTAGGAAGCTTCGCTCTTAAGCTTTTGAGCTTGCAAAGTAGTCAGGTGAGAAGGGATTAGACCAGTAGCAAGATCGTTAACTAAGTGAGCAAACCATGGTTGAGAAACAGCTAATGCACATAAAGGCTGGTCAGGGAAGGAATAACAAATAATGCCAAAATCTAATACTCCCCTTGTCTTTAGTGGTAGCCTGCTTAAGTGATCTGCTACATAGTTGACATTGTCAGCTTGATCTTTCACTTCCATATCAAATTCTTGTAGCAACAACATCCACCTCAAAAGCCTCGGCTTCGATTAAGGTTTGTGGAAGAGATATTTCACTGCTGCGTGATCTATAAATACAACCACCTTAGAATTTATGAGATAGGGTCTAATCTTATCAAGTGCAAAAACAATTGCAAACAATTCCTTTTCAGTAGTGGTGTAGTTTTTCTAAGCTGTATCTAGAGTTTTAGAGGCATAAGCAATCACTTTAGAAATAGAATTCTCCCTTTGACCCAACATTGCCCGACACTCAAGGTTGAAGCATCACAATAAATTTAGAAAGGCAAATCCCAATTAGGAGAGGTCAAAATCGGAGGAGTAACTAGCCTATTCCTCAGTTCTTCAAAAGCAAGCTCACATGCATGGTCAAATTGAAAATTGACATCCTTTTACAGCAGTTTAGAAAGAGGTAAAGCAATTTTACTAAAATCCTTGATGAACCTTCTATAGAACCCCACATGTCCTAAAAGAGCCTCAACTCTTTCAAGTTGGTAGGGTAGGGTAAAAAAGATATCACCTCCACTTTGGCTTTATCAACCTCTATTCCTTTTTCAGAGATCAAATATCCTAACACAATGCCTTGGTTAGCCATAAAATGGCATTTCTCATAATTCAAAGCTAGCTTCTTCTCAATACATCGTGCCAAGATTTTGTCAAGACTTTTTAAGCAATCTTCAAAAGAATTCCCATAAACAGTAAAATCATCCATGAACAAATCCATGCATTTTTCATAAATTCAGCAAAAATGGATAGCATACAGCATTGGAATGTGCTAGGGGCATTGTAAAGACCAAAGGGCATTCTTTTATAAGCATAGGTTCCAAAAAGACAAGTGAAAGTGGTCTTATCTTGGTCCTTAAGGTCTATAAGAATTTGAAAGTATCCATAATATCCATCTAAGAAGCAGTAATGACTCTTCCCTACTAACTGTTCAAGCATTTGATCAACAAAGGGCAAGGAAAAGTGATCTTTCCTAGTGGCCTCATTCAGTTTCCTATAGTCAATGCAAACTTTCCATGAGTTTTGCACCCTATTTGGGATGAGTTTATTGTTCTTATTTTTAACTACTATGATTCCAATCTTTTTTTACATGACTTGTACCCGTGACACCTATTCGCTATCAGATATGGCATAAATAATTCCAACCCACAGAAGTTTATCTACTTCTTTCCTAACCATGTCAGAAATTAGAGGATTCAACCTCCTCTAGCTTTGTTTAATTGGCTTGGAATCCTTAGTCAGTAAAATCCTATGGGTACACATAGTAGAGTCAATTCCCTTTATGTCAGCTAATTGCCAACCCAAAGCCTCCCTATTTCTTCTAAGGACTCCTATTAGACTAGTCTCTTCATGTTCAGTTAAAGAACTAGAAATAATGACAGGCAGTTTGTTCTTAGGCTCAAGATAAGCATATTTGAGGTTGGGAGGTAAATCTTTCAATTCTAAAGTTGGGGTTAAAAATTAGAGGGAATTAGAGTAGGAAAAATCAACAGAGTTAGAAAAACTCCCCTTTATAGAACCTTGTGAAATGCACTCGCCAGCTTAACTTGGATTCACTATGCTTGCTTCAGTCCTATCAGATATTACACTAAGCTCGAGTTGGTTTACAGCAGTAACAACCTTAGGTTGGTTCACCTCTATAGCTGTATCATTATTGGAAATTAGATCATTCAAAAATCATAAGGTATGGGATGTAATTTTAGAATATGTATGAGTAGCAATTGAGTCAGAAAGTGTTGGCCATTTAACCAAAGTCTTCAAGACACGAGGTGGTGAAGCAATTGAAGTTTAAAGTTCAGGAGGTGAAACAGGGGGCTCAGGTCGCGACCTCACTTCATAGAGGCCACCCTCTCGACAGTTTAGGTCTGAAGTCACAACTTGAGAATCCTCAGGTCGCAACCACAACTCACAGAGGCTCATATCCTCAGATTTTACTCTAGTCTCAATACATATCACATCTTGAATACCTTCATCATTAGCTAACAAACCCTTTTCAAGGCCAACATTAGTTGTAAACACAGAGATGGAATCAAAACTTAATAGGAAAGAAAAGTCTCGAGAAATAAAAAGCATGCTATCAATCTCTAAAGAATTAATGCATGGCACCTCATCTCCACAAGGACTAGAAAATTAATAAACAAAGGAGAGAGAATTGAAATATTCATCATAAGCACTAAAAGACGAGTCAAGCTCATAAGATTCACATGATGGTGCAGCAGAAGAATCAATCAATTTAGGTGAATACATGTCATAACCATCATACATACGCAGCTCATGCTCATCCCTAGCTTGCTCAACAGCTAAATTAATAGCATTTAGACCCATAAATGCAGAATTATCAAAGGGGGTAATGCATGGCCTCATTCATATTAAAAGTCACAACATGATCCCCTACTTCCATTGTTATGTAGCTATGTTTCATGCTTATGATGGTTTTGGAAATTTACAAGAAAGGTCTTCTTAGAATCAAAGTACTTTCATTTGCAAGTTTATTGGACATGTCCAAAACATAGAAATCAATAAGGAATACTAGATCTTTAACTTGAACTAGAATATCTTCTATGATTCCCTTGGTGTGTCTAATAGACCTATCTGCTAATTGGAGTACTACGCTTATGTCTTTGATGCCACTTATCCCTAAAGCCAAGTAAACTAACCAAGGCATGACATTTATAGCAGCCCCTAAATCTAACAATACTCCCTTAATGTGAACCTTTCCTATGGTACAGGGGATGGTGTAAGATCCAGGACCTTGGCACTTAACCGGTAGTTCAGCTTTAAATAAGGATGACATATTGGCACTCACTTGAATTCTCTCAAGAGGCCTAAACCTTTACTTGTCATTACACAGTTCCTTTAATAGCTTAAAATATTTAGGGTTTCCTCTCAAGAATTAAATTATGGGTGTATTAATTTCCAGCTTGTTAAAAAGAGTGTAAGCATCAGTGGCAAACTCAGCATCAAACTTTTTTTTTACTAGAGAAATAAGCTTTAGTGAAAGGGAGATCTTTAGCATTTACCTCCTCACCTAAAAGCTTAAAGGCTCCTTGCATGCTTGTCTCTGCCTTGTCCTCTTTCTGTTTACCTTGTAAGCGGAGCTCTCCACAATGTTTTCATCTTCTAGTACAGCTTCTTAAATTACTTGGTCATGTGCTTGAGTTGGCTTCTCTTCTGGACCAGTCTGTGCTCTTGCCCTCTTCATGAGCTCTTCTTCTTGTGAGCTTTCAGACTTGCTAAATCTCATTAGGGAAAGCAGAGGGCTTGCTACATCTTGATCAACCTTAGTCCTGTTTACCCATTCACCCTCAAAGTGAACCTTCCTACTACTTCATTGGGTTATAGTATTGAGGCCCTTTAGGTTGATCACTGTATTGAAAGGAATGCTTCCCCCACTCTTAGCTTGTATGTCACTGACCGCATTAGACAGTTGGGTCAAATGACTAGTGATATCAGTGCTTTTCAATATAAGCTCCTCTAATTTCTTGTGCATGTCTGAGTTATCCTTCTGCATCCCTTGTAATATAGTGGTTATAGAGACGAATTTATCATCACTCTCCTTCATTTGCGCCTCTATGTTTGTCATCTGAGCAGCCATACTCTTTAAGAGTTGAGAAGTGTCATCCCCTTTCGGTGGTTGAGATACCATAGTGCTATGTGGAGTTGTTACTACTGCCCTTGAAGGATCTTGAAAGTTGCTCGATGAAGCTCTAATATTGTGAAATTGATTACCTTGGAACTGATTTGGTCTATTTGCTTCTCCTTCCCATTTAAAGTTTGGGTGGTCTCTCCAATCGAGATTGTAGGTATTTGAGTAGGGTCCCTTTTTTGATATTGCCTCTCTCCACCTTGGTACATTGCATTAACTTCTTCAACTGGCCTAGGGCAATTTGGTGTAGTATGCATAAGAGAGTCACAAACCCCACAACTCACAGCCACCAAAAGCAAGAGATTGTGGCTTGTTGGATCAGAGACTTTCAACAGTGTTTGCAAGCTTAGACATATCTTGCGCTAGCTGGATCCCTTTTAGCTTTGTGATCCCTTAGAACCCTTGAGCCTACATGTTGTCGGTTGAGAGCAAAAGTTCTTATTAACTCCCATATAGCTCGTGGTTCCATATTCTCTATGGATCCATTCGCAATAACATCCAAGACTTGGGCATCATAGGGCAACGATCCATTATAGAAATACTATACCAAGTGCTCCTTAAGGATTTGATGATTGGGGCACCAGGTAAGTATTTCTTGAAATCAGCTCCAGAATTTGAAGAATGACTTGAACGGTTCTCGCTTAGCTGCAGAAATCTCCTTTTGGGCAGCTAAGATCTTGGTGGAGGGGAAATACTTCTCCAAAAATGCTTTCTTCAAACTAGTCCATAACCCATAAGCATTGTCCACATAGAGCGGCAGGTTCATGTACCATTCTTTCACTTTTCCCTTTAAGGACAGGTAAAAAACCTTCCACATGACATCATTAATACTTGCCCCCACTAGCTTCATAGACAAGCACTGCATTTAAAGAGTCTGGAGATGAAGGTATAGGTTTTCTCCTACAAGACAGTGAAACTTGGCAATGATTGATCAATTAACCTTTAATTTCAAAATCTACATTAAAAGTAGGAAAATCACCGGTCATAGGTTCAAAATTCCCATCAAATTCAGTTAATTCCTTGATAGTTCTACCCATAGGTTGTCTAAGGATCCTATTCTAGCCATTATTCTCTCCCTACCCCTTATTAACACTGTTATTAGGTCTATTATGATTGGCATTCCTGTTTCCACTATTCGGAGGTATTTTAGCCATGATTTCCTCTTCTACTTCCTCACTCTCACTAGATGAGTGGGATTGATTTCGTAAAAGAAGTGAGCTATGAGATCCTATATGTCTACCTCTTCTACCTCTACATGCTCTAGGCATGCACAATTACTCAAAATCAAGCATAAAATAGAGTGAAAGAGAAAAGTAGTGTCAAAACTTCAATATTTACCAAGTATATATTTCAAAACTGAGGCAAACTCAATGATTTCAAATAATGCTTAGTGAGTTTGAGGTGTATGAGGTGCTATATACCCTCAAAGTATGTGTAGACAACAAAGATATGCAAAAGAGTAAGTTTGGACACTAAAAAAAATTTTTAGTGCAAAACCAACTCAGGTCGCGACTTTAATTATCCAAGTCTCGATTTGAATTATCTAGGTCGTGACTTGAGGTCACAGAGAGCACCCCTAAATGAAGAAGGAACTGAGGTCGCGATGTGAAAGAGTTCAAGTCGCAACTTCATAACCGAGAGTAGCACTAGAAAATAGAAGGCTGAGGTCGCAACAAGCCATAAGTCAGGTCGCCACTTCAAGTCACAGAGAGCTACTTTCGTAAAACCTTTAAAAAATTCACTAAGTTTTTTAACCAGATGCTTAATAAACTATGCACAGAGTTCAAAATTTCAAGCAATTGGCCAAAGCACTCAGGATCAAGTCATGATAAAATGTAAAATGCTGTGCAAGAATGTAAATGCGAAAGTATAGAAAAGCAAGATATTTGTTTCTATTTACAAAAAATTTTTATGTTATGAAATACATAAGCTAAATTTAAAAACTAAAACTCAACAAGAATCAATCGAATCACAATGGAATGAAAAACCAATTACTAGGGAACCAATTTCTTGGCTCCACAGCAACGGCGCCATTGATCAGACCAAGATGTTGCCTTTCCAGATCGTAAAAAATTGTGATTGCACCAAATAATATAGTATAGGGTGCAACCAATCGTTCTTCTCAAGGAGCGCTTTATTAGAAAACAACCTAGTCTAAATTGGTAATAAAAAACATGATGATTTAGGTAAAGAAAAAGGGGTTTCCAACTGTTTAAGGGTAGTGCAATAAATGTAAAGTGCAGAGAATTAAATGTTTTTGGTATTTTAATTGAATGAAGAAATGTTTTGGATTAAAAGGGAATTATGGTGACGTAGTCTCTTCATGATAAAAAACTCAGCTATCACTACTCTTTAAAATGAATGGGAGTTTTAGAAAGTCTTTAAGTCTGAAGAAAACCTTAAGTAATCCTTTGGGTCTAATGTCTTAATTAATGAAAACTCACTTTAATCAAAGTTAATTAACATCTCTTAAAACATTGTTAGTGTCACATCTGGCAATAGGGTGATTAGGAATAAGGAACATTCCCAAGAAATTATAAGAGATTATGGAATTAAAAGAAGACCCTCAAGTATCCAAGATTTTTTCTAATTCCTTTAAAAAGTGGAAAAATCACTAAAGAGAAGGAAATTAGTTTTTCTTTTTATTTAATTATTGGGAAATTAATTTTGAGACAAAGAGGGCAAATTGGGAAGATAAAAATAAGGAGAATAGATTATGGATCTGACAAAAAAAATTACAGAGGCCAAAATACTGTAATTATAGAAAAGAAATTAAACCTAAAGTCAAAGTACACCGATAAAGCAAAACTAGAGTCTTACACATTAAGCCATATGTCAGGCCCTTAATGGAGAGGATTTAAACTTGCCAAGTGTCACTTCTCAAATGGAGAGGATGTTGACTTTTGATCACTAATTCGGCCAAAGAGGGAAAAGAGAGAAAAAGAGAGAGCTTGAAGAGGATTTAAGGGAAAAACTACCAACTTGGATCAAGTAAGCTTGGAGTTAAGGTTAGTGGATGATTTTACATTATTCCTTGCTTGTTTCCCTTGAGTTGTATGGTTGAAATTTCTGGTTTTCTTCCTTCTTAAGTGCTAGCCTCAATGTATAATAAGTAAGGGAGGAAGTTTTGTTGTTCAAACTTGTTAAAACACTTTAAAGCATGATATATCCTAGTGGTTACAAGTGGTTGTAGGTTGTTTTTGAAGTGTTTTCTTTGATGTTTCTCTTGAGGCTCAGTTTGGCCAAGAAAAAAGCTAGAACCTAGGACAATGTTGTAATGCTTCCATTGTGTTCAAAATGGAAATGGTGTAGGATAAACCTAAAGAACAAAGGTTGGAAGCATTAAAGCTAAAGTTGTAATTTTTAGAAAATGAACCATAGTGGTTTGGCCAAACTGAAACTAGAAGAAAGAGTTTTATTTTCTTAAATCCAAGCACAAATTTGAAATCTACATGAAAAACTATGTAGGACAAGGTCAAGATGGAATTTTTAGGGTTTACGGAAATAAACTAAAAATTTAAAGAACAAAGGTGGAAGCTTTAAGGGACAAAGGTTGTCCTTGAGCTTTGTTGTTGATTTTTATACACAATGGTTGATGATTCTTGCTACCCTTTTTATGAATTTCCATGCTAGGGTTTGGCATTTGTGGAAACAAGAAAGAAGAACAAGAAAATCAAAGAGCATTGGATTAAGGTAGTGGGATTTAATTAGCCATTAATGTTAACTTTGCATTGTTATTTATGGCATGAATGCTTGCTATTATATGGTTAAACTATGATGTTTGTGATATGGTTACTCCTTTTATTTGTTGCCATGGCCTTGCATGTTGAGGTTGCCTATTTATAAGAAGATTAGTTCTCCTATGATAGCTAATGCTGAAATGCTTTATAATGATGCATGTTGATGTTTTGGTTGATTGATCTTGCTACTGGGATTTCTTAAAATCTCATCCCCCAAATACAATCTAATATTTTAGGGCCTGAAACTTCCAAGAGCAAGCTACAAATTGAAGGTTAAATTATGGTGTCACATCATAAAAATTTGTGGACTTTTGGTTATGTAAATATTCAGCTGGGCAGTGCTGTAAACCTACTAACACCACCAACTTTAAGAGACGTTTTGATTAAGTTTCCAAATGCTTTTAATCACAAAATTTGGCATGATTGTATATCATGTTCTGAGCTTCATTTTGATAGCTAACATGTTAAAAATGGACAACTACACAATTTGTAATGATTTTTCAAAGTTAAGGTTCAGAATCTAGAAAAAAGAGTTTTTGCCAAATGGATAGAGGTGACTTTCACGAAAACCTGACACTTTTTCAAATAGAATTGGTTCACAAGATTATTTATCCTTGAAAGAGAATTCAAAGAGCTTTTAATAAAATTTTGAATCACTCTATTTTGATTTTTCTCGATTAAGTTATTAATTTTTGAAATTGGACTAGAAAACTGGATTTTTACTTGATGAACAGTGAAAATCCGAAAATCAACATTTTTGGTATAAAACTGAGCCTAAGACCATCCAATGTGGTCTAAAATGGTTTTAATTGAACCCTAAGTCGATTCAATAGTAAGGTGTAACAGTTAGAAACCATTTAGAGTGTAGATAAACAGATGATGCAAATGTCCTCAAAAAGTCAATTGATAATCATTGAATACCAAGCACATAAATTAATCACCAGTGATCACTGATAATTAAATGAACACAATGATTCAAAATTGATATATATATATATGAATGATCTAGCATTAACAACATCAATCCAGATACATTCAACAGTTGAAACACAAGATTTACAATCATAAATCAAGTCTGGAACAGATGTAGAAATCCCTAAATCTAGAAATCTCTAACTCTCAAACACAAGTTTAGACAGATAACTCCCCTATTAGGTCCTTGAGCTTAAGCTTTGTCTCCCATCACCAAGAGGCTAAGGGTTTAGCCTCTCATGTCTTTAAATCGATCACAATCGCTCTAGAAATGAACAGCCACGGTTGATGGTTGGAAAAATGGAGAAGAAGATGGTTGAAGTGGTTTAATCAGTTCAAAATGCAACCATGCCAAAGCATCAATCCAAGAACTAATCCCAACCAAGAAAAGTCAATTGTTAAGCTCCAAAAATAGTGCAAATCTTATGCAAATTATTCCTTTCAATTCAAAAAACCTAAAAATCAAGAAAATTCCAAGAAAGAAACTTAATGAAAAATCTGGAAAATTCCAAAAAATAAAGAAAAATTGAAAAGGTGCCCAAAACAGAGAAATTTAGCCAAATTCTGTTAGGGCTAACAGTAAAGCTATTAGTCTTGTTTAAAATGCCCAAACCCTATAGGGAAGCAAAATTCAAAATTTTCTAGGCAAAAATTGTTTAATTCGAGCCACTACTACCAAAAAGAGAAAAAGAATTAATGTCCTTTCTTTGCATTTGTTTTTAAGAAAAGCAGACATAAAAAATAATTATACTCGTCTGTTTTTAAAAATATATGAAATACTCATTTTTTCTTCTATTTCAAAAAACAAATGGGAAAAATATTGCTTTCTTGTCCATTTTGAGAAAAGAGAGGGAAAAGCTATTTTTTTGGGGTTACAGTAATGGTTCCAGGGCATTAGTAGCCATCCTCTTTGATTGGCCGCATGTACTTCTTTCTCTCGACCAGACAACACTCTTGACTTGTCCTCTTGCATTCGCTGGCACACAGCACACACTCATGACCTCATCTTTTTCCCGTACTCATATTCAACTCCATTGCCTTACTCACCATTGTCCAATACCAAGGTCTCTATTGTATCGATACTAGATTTTCTTCATGTGTTTATCAGCTCAAGCTTTGGCGCTGGTTCCTAGAGTCTTCTACTATCCCTCTTTCAACTTGTTCCATTGTCTTGGTTGCTATTCAAGATCTCTCCTTTCCTTCCCATTCTCCTTTTTATGAAATTTGAGAGTATTTGGTCTCAGCCACAACTTGGAATTGACATTGGATGGATGAATTACAGTCAGAGGTGACTAAATTTGTTTGGCAGGTAGAGGTATTGTTCGGTAGGTTTCTTTTTAGGCTTGTTGCCCTTTTTTTCCTTTATTTGATTCTTTAGGGTTATCACCTCGTTCAATCAGCATGGTAGAAATAGAGTTAGAGAGAGTTAAAAGGTGAGAAAAAAACTAAGAGGAGCAAGAGAGAGTGGTGAAGAAAGAGAAGAGGATTCATAACCCCTACCCTATATGGAAGCTTGGATTTGAGTTGAGGTGAGTCCCTTAAATTATTATGATTTTATTATCATTTTTTATGAACATTTTCATCTTTAAGTCTATGTGTTTTCCTCTGCTAAAATACCATGAAATGTTATATTTCTCTTCTTGCAGCAGATTTTAAAGCTTGTTTCTAAACTTTTGTAAGTGTTCTTTATATTTGACAATCAGATTCTGTCATTGTGGTTTGTTCCATGTGGAGTTATTTGTGTTGTTCATCTATGTCTTTGCTTATTTTTTCAATGGTTTTAGTCTCTTGTTCTTGGATGATTTGTGTAGTTGGTATTGTTTATTTGTGACATGTTTGCTTTCAAAAATTTAACTAATACATATAGTGTACGACATTTGTCTGACTTGCTTTTTTTTAATTAGAAAAAGAGATTTATTGTAGAATTTCAGGCAATCAACTAAAAGTCCAAAACTTGTTTCAATACTATTTTCATTACCTCTTCGAATTGTTGGGTAAGATTGTTGTTTTGGATGTTATGATGAGTACTTTAATGAAAGGGGAGAAGAAAGTAGGATTGAAAAAAAATGAGTTTCTCGTGTCTTCATTCTTTTTAGCTATTTATCTTCCCTAACATTGCTCTTTCCACCATTTCCCAAACCATTACAGGGATAAAAAATACTCTGTAGTTAACGCAGCTATTACCTTAACTCATCATATTGTTTTTGTTAATGAAAGGTTTAATCACCTAGATATAGGTTGGATCTTGCTTTTGGTTTCCCGACTTGTAATTCTTTTGGCTTCTTGAAGCTTGTACATATCTTTTGATTAATGAGAAACTCCTTTTCATTGAAAAAATAATGTTAATTTCTTTTAAGTTAATATGATTATTACTCTTTTTGATTTGCTAAAAATGAAAATTACTAGTAGTATAGCACTATATTTGTTAAAAAGACAATGTTTTGAATTATCACTACACAATCATTATTGAATGTTCATCCATTGGTTGTGGTCCATGAACTTGGGTTATATCGATAGTTTCAAACTTGTCTTTTGACTTCTTCATTAGCTTCAATAAACTCATTCTTGGTAAGCAGAATTTTGTTCTTTAGTTTTATTGCTTTCGATTTCATCAAATTGATTATTATGGAGTTTATGGGATGGTAATATTGCTATAACAATATCTCAACTATAAGGTAATTGATTCTGCATTATATAGAAATTTGCAACATCCCTTGTGTTGTGATATGTGAATTTTATGTAAATATTTTTTGTGCTTTGCTTGCTTGAATTAGTCTTATTCCTATTATTTTTCATAGAAAAACAAATCAAGATAAAGGAAAAGTGATATGGGATATGCTTATACCACTAAAATTTTTATCGATACCTATGTTGACCAAATATTGAAAAGGAACGACAAGACACATTATTCACAAAGCCTATTTAGGACAATATCACAAAGATATTTAATGAAAAGAGTGGGAAATCTTATGATAAGAAATAACTAAAAAATAGATTCAATATATTGAGGAAAGATTGGAAGTTATGGGAGTTATTGATGTGTGGAGAGAGTGGCATAGGGTATGATGCTGCCACAATTACTGTGTTTGCCTTCGATGAGTAACAACAATGAAAACTATTGGTAACTATTTGTGTTCCTTAAGTTTTAATTTGGTTTAGACAAAGCTTGATTGTGGCTAATTCTATGAAACTAAACCTAAATTTCAGTTTAGACATCAAGGGTTGATGTTTGCATCTAACTTGATGAAAATATTCAAAGATGTTTTGGTTTCTACAGATGTACCATCTACCACAGAGGGAAAACTGACACAAAAGGCGAGGACAATGTTTATAGAGTTAGGCTAGAACAAGAAGAAAGGTCAAGAGATAGTAAAGATGAACATTTTGGTGTCACACCAATAGCTAGTGTAGGACTAACAAATTACTTGGCTGGTTGTAACTTAAACATCCCTGTAGCTAGTAGACTAAGTGGTTCAAGAAGCTATGGAAAGAAGAAGAAGAGTGAGTCTTCTAATAAGAAAAAGAATAAAAAAGTTGCTACCTCTAGAGAAATTGCTAATAGGCTTAGTGTTATAGCATCTGCTTATGAGCAGCAAGTAACAATATTGAACAACAATCCCCATTCTGTTAACAAGGTTTTGACACACCTAGCCAACATTAAGAAGCTTAATGATGACAATGAACTATATTATAAATGTGTTAAAATGATTTCCTAGTGGAGGTGGGCTAGGGAAGTGTATATATCACTTATGAATGATAAACACAAGTTGTTTAGGCAGTTGATACCGGGACCCAGACACATTGAATGGACCACTAGTTTAAGCCTTAATAATTTAATCTTCGCAATTGTACTGTTTTAACATGAACTAATGTTGTCTGTTCTAGGAACTTAATATGTATGTAATATGAGTGTGATAATTTTGACTTCTTATTTGTGAGTTTGGTTTGTCTGTTTATAGTATGGAATATATTTATTTACCATTTACAATGTTTATGCTTTCTTCTCACCCCAGTTACAAGAAACATCATATAATAGCCAATTGGAATGATGACTCATCGTGGAATAAATATTGGTGAATTGGAATAATGACTCATAGTGGAATGAAGGGGATCAAGAAGATCATTCTATATAGTTGTCCATTATAAATAATGAATTGACACAATATCAAGCAGTAGGTGCATTAGTAGGTCATTAGTGTCAAATGTACATGTGTAAACTGTCCTATAGAACTAGTGATCATATAGGGAATTTATGGGTGCAAGGCATTTTGGCAGGTCATGATCGATGATTAGGATGTCATGAAATGTTCAGAGTGGATAAATATGTTTTCAACCTGTTATGTGCTAAATTGGTGGAGCATGGCTTATAGTAGTCTAAATACGTAAGTATTAAAGAAATGGTAGCTATGTTTTTAAACATGATTGCATATGGACAATGTAATAGGATGATCTAGGAGTGATTTTAACATTTAGGGGAAATTGTAAGTAGGTAGCTTCACAATGTACTACAAGCTTGCCTTAATCTATTAAGGGAAATTATCCGGCCCCTAGATCCTATATTTCACGAACCTTATAGAAAAATTGCACAAAATTCATGGTATTATCCATTTTTTAAAAATGTAAATGAGCAATTAATAACACTCATATACAATATGTGGTCCCAGTTACAAAGCGAGACAAATTTATTGGTAGAAAGAGAATTCTGTCACAAAATGTCATGGTTGTATGTGACTGGGATATATGTTTCACTTTTGTGTTGGTAGGATGGGAGGGATCTGCACATGATGCTTGTGTGTTTGAAACTGCAATCACAAATTCGTCTCTAAATTTATCTCATCCACCTCCAGGCATATATTTATAACTTTCAACTAAGCTAATTTTTAATTATTTTATATTTCATTTAATTTCACAACGTCACAATAGTTTTATGAATCATTAGGGAAATATTACTTGGTCAATACGGAATATCCAACACCAAATGGATATCTTAGTTCATACAGATCTGAGCACTATCGTCTTCTAGACTTTTGACAACAAGTAGGATTTCAAAATAGTAATGAAGCCTTCAATTATTATCATCCCAGTTTAGAGTGCATAATAGAAAGAGCATTTGGAGTCTGGAAGAATAGATTTCAAATCTTATGAAATATGTATAGTTACGAGTTTTAAACACAAGTGTACATGATTTGTATAATAATGGCCATTCATAACATCATAAGGAGACATTCGAGCTCCGACAACTATTGCCTAGAAGCTGAAAATGATGCTATAGTTAGGAAAGATGATCATTAAAGCTGGTCATGCATCATCTTCAAATATAACACCATAGTCTTCATCGCATATGAATTGCGTCTGTGATACAATCAGAGACAAAATTGTTCACAGCTTATTAGTTAATTGATTATGTAATATTATTTCTTTTAACCTTATCACAATACAATGAATTTTAATTGAAAAATATTTTATCCATTGAAACTATGTTTTTCTTTATATTTGCAATAATTTTTTATGATATCTCTAATGTTTTAAAACATGTTTTAGCCATTAAATTTCACTTCTTTATATTAAAATAATTTAAATCCACTGTATTATGTAAATTTATTTTTTAATCATTTTTTATTATTTAATAAACTGAAACCCATTTTAGTAATTTTACAAACTAAACTTATAAAATTCATTATATCATGTAAATTTATTTTTAATTATTTTTTAAAACTCATACCCATTTTAGTAATTTTACAAATTAAAATTATTAAATTAGTCAATTAATTCTTATATTAAAAACCAAATATAGCGTATATAAATTATTTATCAAGTTTTTTGCTGGCACAAGTATTTAGTATTGAGGGATATTAGATGTGACGGAGCTCGAATTTTGTGGCTAAACAAACTTTTATCCAATTAAATTAAAAGTAAACAACTTTTCTAGCTGCTATCCTATGTTCTTTTTGCGCGTGGCGGAGGGCCGCACACGCTAATTTCAACAAATGTCAGAATAAGTTCAAATCTTAACAATTAAACAACCACTAATCAGTTGGTCCGTGAATCGAACGGGTACGGCGTCCAGTTCTCTATTTGACGTTCTGCCCACGACCCAGTGCCGTTCTATCCTCTTGCTTGCTGAAGCCGAGGGAAGACAAAGGGAGTGAGCTCGACGACTGGTTGGAGAGATTTGGACATCCTAAACCGCAACAAAACTCTACGGTATCGCTTCTGAATATGTTCTTTTCTTAATTATCTTCTATCTTGGCATATTATTTTCTGATTTGGGAGAGCTTGTGCTTGCTTGGCTGAAAAGAAGCCGAGGGGATTGAAGAAGCTGAGCGAAATTTGTGAGGATAAAAGGAGAGCGATTTTTGGGAGGCATCTTTGTCCTTCTTCGGTTTACATTTTTGGGATTTTTATGGCTTGGATTTGAGCTGTCTCTGTTTAGAATACTTATGGGAAAATGTTTGTTGTTCACGGTGGAATGTTGAGGATAAAATGGGAGAAGTTTTGGTGGGCGATGAAGTAAAGAAGCAAGGGAAACATGTAAGTAAGGTAAAATCTCAAGTCTAATACAAATTTCATGGGTTTTTGTTCTGAAATTTTGTGGTGGTAGTTTGCTTGTTTAAGATATGTGGCAAAACTATGGCAAGAGCGATATAATTTTGGTGACCGGCGTTCTGATTTTGAGCAAACCTGCATAGAAGGCAGAAACCTCTTCCTTGTGCACCACATTGATAGATAATTGGGGGAACTTGTAATTTTGTTTTTCTGCTTATTACTGTTATGAACTCTGCGGAAAGTATCTTTTTCTTTGGGATTTTTTTGAAAAATTGTGAGAGAAAAAGAATAGGTTAAGAACATTGCATTTAAAAGAAGGTGGATCCTTGGTTGATTGAAAATTTGAAATGTTATGCTTCTCCTTGTTAGAAGTGGTAAATGAAACTATTTGGAAATTTATTTGATTCGATACCCTTTGTTTGAATTGGGAATTGTGAGGATGCAAAAGGTTCTGGTTTAGTAATTGAGGTGCTAAATAAATGTGAGTCAAATGCATGGATCAAGTGAATCAGAGTGTTAAATGTTAGGACTATCATAGTTCATTTTTAGTTTAATTCAAGGACGTGTGAAAAGCTTTGGGTTATTGGATAATTGGGAACGATGAAGAGATGATGCATTTTGGTGGTTTGAAATTTATTGGTGCAACGGCTTTTCTTTTTGAGTGGGGGTTTTTCTGAAACTGGTGTTAAGAAAGTAGACTTTTGTATTAGCGTTGGATTTTTGTGAATTTGTATCTGAAAACACTTGATGCTGAGAGGAAGAAAAAGAAAAGGTTGATATTTATCAAAGCGAAGGATGTTTTTAGGAAGATTGATCATTGTCAATCCACATCTCTAGTCAGATTTCCTGAAATAGAAATTGCTGTTGAAGTCAGATATATAGAGTAATGAATATTGACCTTTGATTATTTGATAATATAATGCTTATGAGATTTGATTATATTTTGGACTCAATTTTGGATTAGCTGCTTCAATAATAGCAGAACTAAGGGATTTTCTTTCTTCTGCATAATTTACTGTAATTAAGCTTCTCATGTTCAATGCTTCCCTGCAACATTTTTGGTCCAGATTTAGTTCAATGCTACATTAGCAATCTAAAGATCAAGGTTGGTGGGAATCTGTGTTTTAGTTTTAATTTTAGAATTTAGAATTTATGCCATCTATTAAAGTTATTTTTCTTTATTTTAGAATGAAGCTAAGGTATCCAGGATTTAGTTGTTTTATTTTATCTTTTAGGAATTATTCTGTGTAGGGCTATGGCTTGTTTTTGTTGTTGTACTTATATCTAGGGCTCTATAAATAGTCCTAAGGTTCTCTCATCTCCTTGGCCTGGCTGAGATATTGGATAAAGTTCAAAAGCTTTTGTTCACCTCTAGAACTCTATTTCTCCCTCCATTCCTGTTTCTTTCCCCTTCCCTTCCCTGTCTTGCATCCAGGTCACTTGAACATGGTTTTATATATAAATATATATGTATTAGTCTAAATTTGGTTGGGCAAAATGCCTTATGTTTAGTTACAGGTTTTTAAAAAAAAAAAAAAAAAAAAAAAAAAAAAGAGATGTAAAAACCATATTTAGGTTTATAGAATTCAAATATTTCATTCATTTGATTAAGATAAAAGGATATATACATTTTTGTATCTTACTGTCTTGCAAAAGTTATGTTAATCTTTTAATGCAACTGATGTTTTTTAATACACTCACATCTCACACCACCCTGCATATTTTTGTTGTCAACTTAGCTGAAATAAGCTTGACTTTTTTCATTTATTTTTCTATCACAAGTGTTGTTTTATGCTTCACATGATTTGAATAGTTATTCTGAACTAAAGATAAAATACATAAAGTGTATTGGAAATAGTTTACATTTTCCATAAATATTGGATATTAAACTAATCTAGCATCAATAAACTAACAAATCGGCCATGAATTTATCTATTCATTTAGCTTTTATCCCCAAAATTTTCTTTGAGCCCTGAAGTTATTTAAATCATTGCAACTTTGTCCTTCTATCAAGTGCCATATGGCTACCCTCGAAAGGTTGCTGCCATTGGTCATTGGTCATTCCAATTGGCATATGAAGGTCTCAATGGCCTGTAAAGATCTAAATTAGCAATTTTCACTGTTTTATGAATAGTTATAAAATCCCAAAGGCATCCATTAGCTAAGGACGTGGCATAGGCTATCATGTTTGAACAACTATGTGGCACTTGACATGAGGATTAATTTGCATTAAGTTAAATATTTACAGGGCCTTGCTCAAGCACAACTACGAATTCAGGAACTAAGGTAAGAGAGCTTTTTAAATTTTGGGAATAAAGTACTTGTGAACTCAGAACTTATCACTACCTGTCCCTATTAGATATTACCTTCGAAAACAAGAGCGAGTTGGGAGTTTGATTTGGTTTTAAATATAAAATCTCAATCCATTTTATCCCCTAAATTTGTAATTTACTCTCTTAAATATCCCTATTGATTACACTTGTCAAAGGGTTTCCATTCAAGGGTGCTGATGATTAAAAAGAGTACTTTAAGAAAATCAACTTATATTTGTAACAAATAACTAATTTAACTAATTTCTTTAATCCACTCAAACTAGTAAAGAAGTTCTGGTAGCATATTAGTAACCTTCTTTTCCTATTACCCAGGATCTTCTTTGTTATTTGGAGCTTCTCACAGAGACAGTAAACCCGACAAGTCTGGTATGGAGGAATCAACAAACTCCACATCCTCTGCTTCAAACCTCTATAAGCAGTCCTCTAAGCGGCTTTTGTTTGACCGACGCTATGGTTGGGTGTAAGTCTTATCTCCTATTCTCTCTTACTGTTGCCTTGTGCCATACCTAATGAAAAATAATACTGTGATACTGAGTGTTGTCCTACAGAATTGATGAATGGAAAGATCCATCAGAGGAAGCACTTGAGGGTGGCCGAGGAATGTAAGTTCTTTTCTTGTTTCATTGTGTATTGAATCCTTGCTGAGGAAACTGACACAGAGCAGCTTAGAAAAGGACTTAAGTTTTAATCATGACACTGCCCTGCTTGATTGAGGAATAAACAATCCAAACTTTACATTTTCTTTGTATCAGGAGCAGAGTGATGTGAAGTTTGTTCTATACTTAATCATTTTTATTTTCTTCTTTTCCGGCCAAAAGGTTTTGCATATTGCCACTTGTCAAAGCTCTGGGGCTGAAGACCTCACAATCGGTATGATGACAGTTTCACTAAAACATTTCAGTTATCTCAATTTGGACTTAGGTCTTCTACCCTTATTAAGTTTAATTTGGTAGCAATGATCTTTTTTTGTTTATAAATTCTTTTGCAAACAAACTTTTCTACTAGCTTCTTTTGGTTTGTGATTCATCTTGCAATTTTTTTTCCTTTTGTTTACCACAAGTTTGCTTAGGCTAGCAATGACATTGGAATACTCTAAATTTTCTTTGTAATTTTTTTATTGATCTTCAAATTGGCACAATGTTATATGATTATAACTAGTATGCTTCCCCGGGTGATGTGCGTGAGGCATTGACTTCTTTAAATCTCAACTTATCAACTCAATAACCTTATGATTTCTTCCTTAAAATAAAACTTTATCATCAAATGTACAAAGAGATGAAGACATTCAAGGTGAACTATATACAAAGAGATCAAATGATCCAACTAAATTAGCTATAATAATAACCAGAGTTTTTCATTCAACTTAACTAATTAGCATTTTATACAGTCACAAGTGTACAAGCTCCTAAATTTAGTGATTAAATGTACGAAATACAAGTTTGGGTATGCTAAGAGCTGCCTATTGCCTCCTGTCTCCTGAACAGAAACCATATTTGCCTTCAATGCATAATCTGATTCCATGCCATTCCCAATATTTCTTATCAATTTTCCATCACAACCCAATCACAAAGTCCTGTGCTGTCATTTCTTAACTTGCGCACTATCCACATTATGGTTTACACTAATGATATATTCATTTCACTTTGCTGTTGTAATATTGTTAAGCAAAGCACATGACAATGTATTATTTGTGCTCATTGATGCTATAAATGACTCCTTTTAGCTTAACCTTGTATGTTGAACCACATAAACATATTTGACATAAGCCTAAACCTCAGTCCACCTTCAGAAAAAAAACAAAATGTAGAATGTAGATGCTTATGCTTAAGTGCCCCATAGTGTGAAGAAGTTGCGACCTTCATACCTCTTACCACAACTCACCTCCTCAACATCATCATCTTCATCGGAGACCTTACCCTCTTCCACTTTCAAACAAGGCAACTTTGAACCAGAGGAACAGGCCAGCAACACTCTCACCTAAAACCAGATCTCGCAACTTCCCCATGGCCAAAACCACAAACCTCCGACTCCATGCCTTTGATCAATCACCATCGGTGCCCTCCATCTTCAATCATCATTACATGGTTGGCTTCTCCCTTCTTCCTTGTTGTCTGCTTCTTTTCTTCTCCTCCAGTCCAATTTCAATGCACACCCGACCCTCCAAAGCTTCTCCAATGGTTGTTGTATGGATGAAGCTTCCAGAAAATTTTCTGACCCTCTCCATCAGGTTTGGTGAAGAAAAGGATAAAATGAGGGGCAAAGAAGAAAATCAATAAAGTTTAAATTTTGAATTTGAATAGGGAAAAAATTTAAGATAGGTAAGTGTAGTAGGCTGAAAACAATTGACACACTCTTAACTTATGAAAGTTGAAAAATATGACAGATGAAAGGACTTATTTACTCTACTCTGTTACACCCCAAAAAAAAAAAATGCACGCAGCCCAAAAAATGAGCTGAGACTGTTCAATTAGTCATCACTATTCATAGCATAGTGATTTGAGTGAGGAGCCGTTGAGGATGGAAATATGGCTCAGCTCATACTTGATTTTTATTTATAACTTATGTTGATTAGAACATAAAAGTTAGTTATGGCTGTTATTAAACCAGCCGTTAGGAAGGGCCATTCGTAGTTTTCTGTACCTGTACCTTAGTTAGGATTATAAGCAGGTCTATCCTAATCTGATGTATTCAGATTTGTGAAGTAATGTGAATAGCACTATTCAGTCATCTCTTTCTTTTGATGCTCTCTCTGAAACTTTCTCTAGTTCCTTCAGTTCTCTCTTTCTCTTTGCTTTCCCTATCCCTATCCTATTCTCTTCTTCTTTCTTATCAATTGTACTTTCCACAATGAGCAAGACTTTATATATATATATATATATATATATATAAATGCTGGGCACATTTTACTGGCAAAATAATACCTTCAAAGAGGATATTAAATCACTGCATTTTGGACTCTAAAAGCTGCTAGCCATGATGTAGATGAGGCATTATTCTAAATGTATTTATAAAAATAGGAATATATTGTCCATTTGAATTTTGTAATTCGGAATATCTGAGCTTGATCTTATCAAACAAAACTTGGTCCTTCAAGAGGTTATAGAAGTAGAAAAGATTAACTTGCTATTGCAAGTAGTTTTATACTTGTATTTGGTCCAATAAAATGTTAAAGTCCTGTTTTATTTTTTTGTGCCCGTCATCTATTTCCATAGGCTGGGGTCAATGAGGTTGCAAATCTATTTTGTCGGTGCGAGTTAGATTATGGTTAGTGAAGTTTACTATAGAAACTTGAAAATACTTTGGCTTAAGATAAAGCAAATTTTTTGGAATTTTACTCCACAAATGTTATGGAGTATGGACTACAAAGAAAAAGGAAAACATTTTATCTGCTAACTGCTTGAGTTGATCAGCTCTTGTTTTGTTTCGCATTTCTCTAGATTTTTAGTTTTGACAAAATTTTGGCGATTCATCTATCATGTTCAGATCTACTACTCGGAGGAAAGAAATTCTTTGAAGATATGATTAGAAGAGAGTAGAATAGTAAATATGATGAGCATATTTGGTGAAGCTGCTATAAATTAATATAGCTACACTTAATGTCATAAAAATATATGTACATCAGTAAGTGCTATCTCAATCTTAAATTTTTTATGAATAAATTAGCGGTTTGGTTCTTGAATTTTTAGGTCTCCTTAGCTCTAGACTCTGAAAATTAGACGGGCTATGGATAAGTCCTTGAAGATAATAAATTGATTTTATGGTAGTCGTCTTGTCGAGTGAATCAGGGATGCCAAGAGGACTAATATTGAGTTTGTTATTTTTGGGAGGGAACTTGTGTTATCACTAGTTCTGGGGGACTGTAGATAAATTGGCTTAAAATCTCATATCAAATTTGTCAATTTAGTTATCATAAAGACGGGACCCCTGAAGTTTTCCTGCCATGTTGTGTGAAGTCTCTAATGATACATGTTTTTCTTTGTATTTAAATTTTTAGATACTCGCAGCATGTCATTGTCTATTTTCTAAACCACACGACTTGATGAACTTTATGGAACACAAACTTCAGAGGATCTTCTTGCTTCCCCATTTTACTTCTGTGATTTTGAATGATTTATTGTACCACCTCATTTGTAGCTCATGCCTTTCACGGCCCTTTTTGGCAGATCAATCTCTCAGCAACATTGGTCACAAGAGCTTCTGCAAATCCGCAGTGGTTTTCCCATCAGACTCTGCAGGCAGCTTTTGATGATTGTCTTCGCAATTTTTTGTCCCTGAAAAAGGCAGCATGCAAGTTTAACATCCTTGACAAGAATTGTCACCCGGATGCTTTCAACCACTCTTCCCAGCCACAAGTAGAAAGTGAAGAATGACGAGTGCATAGTTACTCTCTCTTTATTGCCCAGAAAAAAGATGCATACATATACACACACATGTATGTACATACACATATATCTATATGTATGTATTTGGTGACAAGCTACCTAGTTTTTGTAGTAACAACTGCTCTTGATTTAAGCTCGGTTGAGTCTCATTGATGAAAACTTTCCTAGTGTATGCGCGTGTTTTGTCCAAATCTGCAAGGTTTGAAATTGAGATGTTGCTTCAATGGATGGAGTCCTCTACCATTCAACTCAACTGCCACTGTAAGTTACTTTTGTAGTAAAAGGAAAAGTTGGCATTTTAGTGATTCAACCTGGAGATTACGGGTCATTGTATGATATATGAATAAAAAGCCATGGTTTTAGCATTGTTTGTCCTCGGTTAAATGTGCAAATTTGGAATGAGCTACACCTTGATTTTAGCCAAAGTATATCCATCCACTGTCTCTGCCTGTTTTGAATTTGATCTTGGCCAAAAATATGAAGAATCACAAGCTTAGCATGTGACGTGCTCCAATATCATATGGAACTGAGTTTTGAAACAATTGATTGATAGTAATGAACAGTCATTTAGAAAGCATTAGTTGATGATATTCAGCCAAGCTGAAAGTATGCTAAACGACTACCTTTAAGCAAATTCATAGGAAATAATCGTACCATGTAAGTTTAGACATAGTATGTTTATGTTTTAAGGTGTAAATCTATTTATGAAATTTTCGTGAATGCGCATTAGACATAATAATATACGTCGTAGTCTACTTCCTTTCCTCCTACATCTCTCCACGTCTACTCTAAAAACAACAGGGGAAGAGGGTGATTGTGTTTCTGCTTCCCCGTCCTGTTGTTCCAAGAGGCACTTTCCTGTGGTTTTAAGGATCCCAATAACCCTCATATTTATAATGTTAATCAGCACGATGATAACCCGGGAAAAGAGGCCACAAATACCGCAGAAAATTGGTGATTTTTTGGTCTGTCTAATTTAGATATCTCTTCCTTGTGGGCACTATATTCCTTCCGATCATTTGGTTTATTCAGTGTTCTTCTCTTGCTGTATAGGATTGGGATGTTTTACAGGAAAAATGGCAATGATTTGAAGCTTTACCTCACTGAGCTCATTGATGAACTTCTGAAGGATAAAACAACAGGACCATCCGAAGGCAGTTATCTGTCAATTTGATCTTGTGCTGATTTTGTATTCATTTCTACCTTGAAATTTCGGTATTGGAGTTTAGAGAAAAATCTGAAGAAATGGGAGGAAGTATGAGGATGAAAATGAAGGGCGTTGGGAATATAGTGCGGCAGAAAGAGTGGCTCCGACAAGGAAGAAAGGGCAGAGAAAGTGGGGGTAGAAAATAGAAATTGATTAAAATGTATTCAAATTAGATTTTTATTTAAAAAATATAAAATAACGTAAATTAAGTAAATGCCATGAAGGATTAAATTAAAGCGAAGTGTTGTGTCTGACTGGTTAGGTCAAGTTTGAGTGAGGTGTTGTGTTTCGAGTGGTTAGAATATAGATGATGTGGCATGTTATGTACATCTAAACACTATATGGGATCCACAATAAAAAAAAAAATGAAGTAGACATTTAGGTATTTAGTGGATGTGATATTTTTGCTTAGTTTAAAAAAAATTGTGTTTATTTTTGTCTTAAGAGAACGTTATGATGCCGTATGCGTATTTGCGAAAAGTTTGAATAAATTTACACCTTAGCACTTTCCATTTTAATGTCACTATTTTTTTCAGGATGTCAAATGTCAACTCAACAACTAGAATTTTTTTCCGCTCAACTTTATTACAAGGTTCAAAAACTTTTTTTTTTTTTTTAATTTTAGGACAAATTTATTAAAATAAAAAAAATAAAAACAGGACATCAAAGGCCAACCCATCTTATCTGAAAACTTTGACCCAATCCCCGATCAACCAAACAATTCAGCCGGTCCAGAACAGAAGGACAAGAAACAAGGCTAAGCAAATTATGACAAAAGAAACTAAAAACTACCAACTAAAAGAAACACAACCCACTTGCGGTGAATCACACTGAAAGAAAGACACTTCTTCAAGCAAGATTGAAGTCCTCATTGCAGCAGCCTCTCCATCGACCTATGCGCCAACCAACTTCCCGATTTCCAGTAGGGGTTTGTTCGCTTCCATTGTTGAACGATAGGGGACCAATGCTAACACCACCACGAACTCCGCGCAAAAAGATGGAGCCCACGATGTCTATAGCATTTATGCTATTAAAAGATTTCTCAGGACCAAGTTGTTGATAATGAGGATATGGCACTAAAGCCATAATGAGAGAGTGCATGGTAGAAGGCTGAAGAGAAGCAACACCAAAGAACTTACCCAGAAGCAACAGCACCATGACCCAAAACAGAATACATAGAAGACAAATAAGCGAAAGGAAATAACGCAAATGAGTAGCCCCGAAATAGTAGCTACTGCAGCCCTACCCATGCATAAAGCCCATCATTCCATCAAACAAGCGTTTTGGGCTAAAGGCTCTTACAAATCCAGAGAAAAAGAGGCGTCAGCATCTGAAACAACCCAATCAATTTCCTTCATCGTCCAAACTCGAGCTTGATGTCTCTCTAAACCATTCGCAGAATCCTCAACAAAACAACCTTGAAATGGAAAGATCAACCCTCTATAATGTGGCTGACAATCAAGTCTGCAGTGTAACCCATTGACTCAAGTTTGCATTTATCACCAAAATTACAAGTGTCATCAGCATTCTGGAGAGAAATAAAACTCTCAATGAAGTCACCATTACTGCTAATCTTAGGCTTTTTAGCTAAAGAAACAATCCAACCATCCAACAATTTCCTCTTACATGTGTTGACTGATGAAGAAGATCGATTAGACCATAGGGATATCATGACTGTTTGATCCATTTTCTTGCATTAATCCATCATTAAAATGCTTGGATCCTGAATAAGTGAAAAATGGGCCTGATAAAGTAACCCAGCCCACTGTAGAAAAAATAAACTGAGCCTCTACTATTAATTCGAGATGATTTTGTCCCCCGATCAGATTTTGCGAGCCCATTTCCAGATAGCACAGCCTTGGTTTGAACATTTATTGGACTCATGGCCCACTGTCAAGCAATTAATACATGCCTCATTAATGTGCTCCAACAGTACAAAAGGGGCGACTTTTTTCCCTGACTGAAGTGGCCAGTGGGCATGATTACAGACATTAAATCGAACCTTCAACCCAATAAAAATCTTCAGACATAGGCCATTTTCATGAAGAATACAAGATTCATAAAACTTGGGGGGAAAAAGCCCGATTGACCAATAACTTAGCAACCCTCAACGTGTAATAGTCAAGAGGGATGCCATAACAATGAATCCAAACCTAAAACTGAGGGGAAGACAGCATCATCTAAAACCATATTCGACTGCCACTCATATGCTGCAAGAGAAAAAACTTGAAGCATCCAGGTTCCTTGATATAAAATTGCTCTTCAATCACTAGGATTACTAAAGTAAATTGCAAAGATATTATTAAGATGTTTTACTATCCGATCAGATCCTTTAAGATGCTAGTAAAATCTAACAAGAGACTGCAACTTCACTGCATGAAGCTTTTGATATCCAAGAACCTTTAGAAATATGAAGTGTTCCCAACAATAAGAAATCTGTTTTGCATTACCAGAAGAAAGAAGCATCTTGAAATAGTAGCGAGAAAGCAACAACTAGACAAAATCAAACAGGAAAGTAATCAGTAGAAAACCCATAAAGTTAAACTAGCAGTGAAAGGATTCAAACCAAAGAAACCACCAAGAGCATCAAACCAAACTAAGTCATGAAGCTCTAGAGAACCTTCAGAGAGAACTCTTGAAACATACTTCCATTTACTCCTTTTAGTACGCGTTTGAAAGCGTAATGGTTCAAGCGAATCATAAAATAAGCCCTGAAAATTTGAAATTTGATTCTTGAGTTACTATTCATTGGTAAATTTCAAATTTTTAGTCCAATTTTAAAAATTCATAACTAATTATAAAAAAATCATACTGAGACAATTCGAGCCACCATTTAAAGCTCTTTTAATTCTCTACAGGACAAAAATATAAATATAAACTTATACCTTCTCAATTCATACAGTTAATTATGTGAAAATGTACTATTTATTTGTTTAAACCATACCTTCCGGCTTTTCTGTTCTAAATTTGAGCAACCATATCTCTTAGCACACAAATATATTTCTTGTGATCTATTACTTGTTTTAAAGCTCTGGTTGTGTACTTTAAGTATATCAAATTTCATGGGCATATTCAATCGTTTGCCTCACTCCCATTTTATTACAAATTCCTGACTTATTTAAAGATAATTTATCCCCTTTACTTGCATTAATAATATATAAATAATAATTGCTTAGCATACAGTCATTCCAAATTTTCCTAAATCATTCTCATGTATCATTATACTCAATTATACATGCAAAGAGCATCACACATATTTACATTACTTAAATGGCATGTTTATATAATTATCCCATACAGGGAGAATCATTATATAGCATAATATCATAATACATTTCTTTAATTCTTTTCTTTATTCTTTTCATCCACATCTTGCATCTTTCTTCGATGCTCAACATACCCATTATGGTTGGCTAAGGAAGGGTGAGATTAAGGAGAATCTCAATAGCAAACATTACTCTTAGACATGCAAGATATATACAAGTGCATGACATGCTTGGTTACACATACTTTCTTGTTTATAAAATGTCATGCTCATATGCTCAACATTTCAAGCACACATGGCCATGAATTTAACAAGAAGTAGAGTAACATTCAACCATTCATACTTTCGTTCATCATCAAACAACATCAAGACACAAGCATACATATCAATTATACAAAATATATAAGTTTGCTACCTTGAAACCTTTAAACTTTCTCCTCGTTTGCTTTGCTTCCAGCCACCAAGATTGCTTGGACAACCTTGCCATTCATCTTTCTTGGTACCTTATGACCCTAAATTCACATTGCACATTAATAGCCAATCTATCAAGACTATGGAAATCACTAACAACCCTTACTTTTAAACTTACTTCCTCTTTAACCCTAACTTTTCACTTTCTTAATCTTGGTTTCTAAAATCATTTTCTTAGTCATTTCCACTCAATTTTTCATGAGGAATCTAAACATGAATTTGAATGTAACAAAATCCAACTCTATCCCTTTTAAACACCTAAGGCCGAGGGATTACCCTTTTAGGTTCAAAGTTTCCATTTTTAATTATAATGCTTCCAAACTTGCTTTCTTACTTTTATCCCACATAGTTTTTCATCTTAAATACATTGAAAGCATCAAAATTATCAAAATCTAACCCTAACTCATACCCCATGTCTGGTAGAAATA